CCCCTCCGACAATGCTTGCAGACGCATGGCCTTGCGTGATTATGTAGGGTGATTTATGTCTACGGGCCACATGTGCTATGTCGGCCGATCGTCTCTCGACAAAGTGTTGGCCTTTACGCATTTCGCATTCATCACCTAACGCTGAGGCATGAGCCAGCTGGTCAATCTTCAGGTAGGGAGGGGATTCGCAATACTAAATACTGTTGGCAGTGAGTTCACGACGATCATGTTTTCTGTCTATGGTACGGCAAGCGGAATAGGTCCCATACGAACTTCAGTGGAATGGAGCAAATGCAGCCATCAAAAGCGCTACTTACTGTTTTTCATTCATCGACGATTGCGGGCCGCTTACAGGGCGAGCGCGCAGAAGATGATGAGCAGAACGTGAAGGGTGAAGATGTTGGCGATGCCCAGTGCTAAGCACAAGATCATGGACAGGACGCCCAGCCTGGATTGATTCTCGAGTCAGCTGTTTGTTATCCCTCCCGCATGATGTGTCTCTTTCTACGCAATCCGGGGCAAGCTATTGAGGAACGGCAGCGATGGCGGTCTTCCGTGGGAGCGGATAATCGAAAGGGGTTCGTCGCGCGAGGCGGACGAGAGACGCAAGGGAGCTCTTACCATTGGCCGTAAATGCCTATGGTGACAGGTTAGCGACAACATCAACACGAGAGCCGAACGCACGCAGGCAAGCAGGCCGAGTGGGAGAATCCAGCGCAAGCAGCGAGGGGATAGATGGAAAGGTGAGGCAGCACGTACTGAAGTTTCTGGTCGCGAACTCGTCCTTGAGCGTCATCTTGGCGGCGGTGGTAGACTTTTTCTTCTTGTTGTTGGCGTACGTGGACTTTCCAAGCTATTGTGGAGATGGTCCGGATTCCAGCTCACGGAGATGGGATCGACACACGGACGGGTTGGGAGAGTGTGAGTGAGAGCAATTGGGGCTCGTGTGCGTTTTCGAGAGCGAAAGGGGGTTGCTGATTGACAATGATGCGATGCGCAAGTTTTGTGTTGGAAATTTCAATTGCGAGGTTGCGTGGATGGAAGCTTTGCGTTTCGTACGAGTGGTCGAGGTGGAATGGTCGGGATTGTTGTCAGCTTCCAGGGAAGCAAGCAGGTGCCTTGGGAACGGCGCAGGGCCAAGTCACCGTCGTACGTAGCCTCTTGCGCCGAGTTGGAGGCTTGGACTTTTTGGGGGGGGGGGGGGGGGGAGGGGGTAAGGGGTGACAGGTCCCCGGAGGTATGGACCAGTCAGATGTACTGCAGCTTCCAAGTTGTTTGGGGTGCTGGTGGACGGCTCCACTGTGTTGTCTCTGGTGGTATAGAGAGGGACAGATACGGATAGACAGAGACAGATGGACAGACAGATAGACAGACAGATAGACAGACAGATAGACAGACACGCAGACACACAGCGAAACTCCAAAGGTTATACTTGTTATGTTTGTTGAGTGAGTTCAGAGAGCCGAGCCATCACTCTGGCCGGATCTGGAGTGGCCATTTGTCGTCGACTAACAAGCCTCTCTCACTTATAGCTACTGCTCCATCAGTGCCGTGTGCTCCTGAATGTTGCCATCAGACAATCAGGAGCTCGTGTTTCTACCCTGGCCGTCTTCCGAAGCCCAACAAAGGCGGTTCGTGTCCGATCCTGATCTATCTGATCCTTCTTGGGGCGGCGAATGGCCCGTAGACCACACAGGCTCTGACCCTGCCTGCGGTGGACCCGCGAGGGCTGCTGCTTGGGGAGTGGAAAGATGGGATAGGGTGTAAGAGGTTGATGAAACGACGTCCTGACACTGTCCGGGCCCGGGCCTCGGGGAGACAGCATAGCGTGGCCGTCCATCTCAGTGAGGCCAGCCGCCCAGTTCATGTTTTCCGGATCCCCCTGCTTTGTTTCCGCGTGGTTGTTGCAGAGGAGAGTTTGAGTCAGTCAATTGACAGTTGACGATGGACTTATTGCCGGGCGTGGTTTAATCAGGTGAAGGATGTCTAGTCGATTTCGTCCTCGGCCAGATATTTATTTTTCTTCATTTTATCCTCTGTCCCCTACAAGACAGGCAAGCGCGAGCGCAACGGGGTGAGGAAACGGAGGAGAGGGCGAAGGAGATTCGAGTTATCTCCATGGCCTTCCTTGGCTGGATTGTGAATGCCAACAACACCATTTTCTGAGCCGCCACTCATCCCATCCGTTACATAATTAATCCATGCATATTTTCGTTTCATTTCTCTAGCACAAACTCGCCGGTCAATCTTCGGGGCAGCCCGCTGTGTTTCCACTCGCCGTATCTCTGAAGACTGGCATGGGATGGCGGTACGCGCGTTCAGTAAGAAATGGCGTGCGGCATGGACGAGCATACGTACGTCGACTCGCCAAACAGCCTCACTCGCCCAGCAGCGGTGGGCTACTGCACAATCTACCTTCACAGGCCAGCCAACTTCCGATGCTTTCCATCATTCAGATGCCTAGAATTGCTCGGTCTTGCCCTATCTGCTACAATTATCTGGTCATCGATCGATCGTTCTTAACACAGTCGTAGGCAACTCCAACCGTAAGAAACAGCCGCAGTAGAATCCCACAATCACTGCATCATCACGCCAGCCCCAAGCCCGCCAGCTCCTTAACCTCCGCATCTCTCGTCTTCCTGTTCTCCTCCGAAGTAAGATCCTCCCACGTGGTGCTACTACTGTACGTCCACCGCACCCCGTCGGCCTCGCTTTTGCCCTTATCGACGCCGTCCCAGTCGCACATCTCTAGGAAAGTGATGTTGGAGACGTCGAGGTTGCACCAGTTCAGCTACGCGTTCGTCCACAGCGTGCGGAACTTGTTGAACCGCTCCGGGTAGGCGATTGGCTCGGCGTCGGCATCGATGGCCCGCTGGAATAGGGCGACGGTGCCGTCCGCGGCGCCCTGATCGTCCAGCACGAGGAAGAGCCCTAGTTCGTTGCTGGACTCGGTGACTTGGCCGTGCGCCGACTGCTTCTCGATATCTTCGATGGCCGCGCCCTTCCATTCGTTTCGGCGGAACTCTTGCAGAGGTGGCTGCGTGGGTTCCATGTCCATGGGAAGGGTGTCGGTTTTCGACGTGATGAGCACAAAAGTATCCCCCTCCGAGGTGAAGTCCCAGTTGCGAAGGTTCAAGAGGAGCCGGTTCACGAGCTTGACGTCGGCGTCTTCGGCCGTGATGAAGAGGAAGGAGGTCGAAGTCATCGTTCAAGCTTATATCTTGGTTTTGTATTTATTTTATTTCGGTCCGTTTCAGACATTTGATCAAGTACGTCTCTTTGTTCGACTAACCGTCTAATCAGTTTTGAGAAGCTCCTGGTTCTGTTTTATCTTTGAACATCTCTCCAAACACATTTCTCTGACATCATGGCTGGATAGCGCACAATAGGCAGAAATCAGGTAGGTGGCTGCCTAGCTCTTGGTATGCGCTTATCATTCGCCCCATCTGATGATCATGAACATTGTGGCATCTGGGGACTGGGTGAGCAGGTTCGTCGCATGCGTCTTGGTCGCATCGCATCTTGTCTGAGGTTACAGGTCTGCCTTGCACGCCCGGACTAAGGAGCCCCCCCCCTCCCCCGCCAAAAACAAAACGGGCCCGGAGCCGGCAGCGCATCCCTCCATCACAGCTGAAAATCCCGGCGCACCGCAACCCGACCCATCTTCCTCCGGGCTCCCGGCCATCGGAGAAGTAAGTAATCCAGCTCGCCTGTGCGATTCAGCCGCCGCGAGGAACGTAATTCACCGATAGCTTTCTTGGCCTGTAACACCTTCTGCCAAGCATATTGGCCACGAGAGGTCGTGAGAGTTCAGCGTACAGCGGCGGGCACAAACGATGTGGAGAGCAACGGGGTGTCAGTCAGCACCACAATTAGGTAGAAGCGGCCATTACATCATAACAGCGATTTCGCACATCGCGGGTCACCTGATGCCACATATCTTGGCGCGGGCTGGCCAGTAGGGGAACTTAATGATACATGCCAAAAATCCGCAGGTGATTGGAAAGGGTTCCTTTGTTAGAGTTTCTCCTGATAGTTCACATCAGCACGGTGTTAACTCTGTGAAGCCGAGTCAGCAAAGAGGGAAGAACCCCGCTCAACAAGATAGGTATCGCCCTCGCATCAGCCGCAATCTTCATCAACAGCCTCTCACTGTGTACATACGGCATCATACCAATGGTCACAGAAGCCTAAAAAATACTTGGCTAAGCTTCATAACGAGTCATGGTCTTGACGGTTCTCACCGACGACCAGATCAAGGCCATATTGGCCAATCTGACCGCCGACGAGTTCGAGGGCTTCAGGAGGACCATCTCAACAGCGCTCCACGAGTACTCGACCAACACCCACAACGTTGAGGATGGCACGTACCACCAACCGGAGCGCATCTCAACCGACAACCTCAAAACCGGCGCTACGACCTTGTATATGCCCTCGGTAGGCCCTCAGGGTATGGGGTGCAAAGGCAAGTCTCACACGTCCCCTACCTCACCATAACACTCACGTCTCCCATACTGATCCCTCTCACGCCTCGCAGTCGTGACCCTAAGCTCCAGCAAAGCGGCCCAGGACCCCTCAAAGCCAAGCATCCAGCCCACGGGCGCCGTGACCCTCCTCTCCCCCGAGGGCCAGCCCGTCGGCTTCCTCCATGCAAAGACCCTGACAGCCTTCCGCACCGCCCTCTCCTCGACGTGCCTCCTCGCACGCCGCGGGCAGGTCAAGACCGTCACCGTCTTTGGCGTCGGCCTCCAGGCCTACTGGCACGTCCGCCTGGCCCTGCTCGTCCGCGGATCGACCATCAGGCATGTCCACGTCATCAATCGCCGCTTCTCGGACCAGGCACGCGACTTCCTCCGACAGTTCTACAAAGTGCCCCAGCACATCAAGGAGCGCGAGGGGTGGGCCGAGGCGACGTTCGGCATCCTCACGCCCGGCTACGGGGAGTTCAAGAGGCTGCAGAAGGAGCAGATCCGCGACGCGGATGTCGTGTACTGCTGCACGCCGTCGACCGAGGACCTGTTCGAGGCTGAAGTGCTGACGAGCCACGAGGGGCGGAGGAAGGGGAGGCTCGTGGCGGCGATCGGGAGCTACACGCCGCAGATGAGGGAGTTACCGGAGGGCTTGCTGCTGCAGGCGACGAAGCACGAGAAGGCGCATTGGCATTTCCACAAGCATGCGCCCGAGGGCGGGGTTGTTGTGGTCGATACGTTGGACGGTGCGTTGAAGGAGGCCGGGGAGATCATCGCGGCCGGTTTGCAGCCGACGCAGCTTGTCGAGTGAGTTTCCGGGTCCACGGGGGACGACGCAGCACCGGGGGAAGGGAAAGGGGGGAGGGGCTCAGTCGAAGCTAACGTGGGACCACAGGCTCGGGGAGCTGATTATGCTCCGTCGCATGCACGAGGAAGAAGCGGACGCCGCCGACGCCGACGCCGACGCCGACGCGGTGAGCATTGCGCCCTCGGAGCTCGACAAGCTCGATTTCTCTGGCACGCCGTCCATCAAGTCGGCCTTCTCGGGGTCCGACGGAACGTCTGCGTCGGATCCGCGGTCGTCCGTCAGCAGGGACTCGGCCACGGGCAGCCACAACAGCAGGGGGCCGAGCATGCCACGCCGGAGCTCGAGCCAGAGGTCATCTGACAAGCACAAGAAGGAGGACGCGCTGTTTAAGTGGCTCCGAGACGGGACGGTGATTTACAAGAGCGTCGGGCTGGGGCTGATGGACTTGGCGGTGGGGATGCATATGGTCCAGCTCGCAAGGGAAAAGGGTATTGGAACCCAGGTTGAGGGTTTCTGATGGAGTTTATGGGGTGGTTAGACTTGTTATGTTCGCCAGGACCGTGAACTACTACGTGCTTTTCGGAGGTATTGGTGACAATAGTCAATGATACCATAAGACTTTCTCCAGCTTCACTGTGTAGAAGCCCGTCTCGTCATGTTCCTTCTGCCTCTTGCGCACACTCAACTGCCCTCTCATCCAAGAGCACACGTATAGATGTGTTATCACAAAGCCATAACCACAGGATATAAACTCTAGATAAGAGATACGTAACTTGGCTCGAGGGTGGGACGTTCGAATATCAAGTATTCTCCAGCTATCTATGGTTGCCGTCTCTTTCGGCTTCCTTGTATCTCGGTATGAACGTAACAACAACGTCAAGAATAGAGAGTGACCGCTTGGAACACAAACATCTAGCAGAGCCTGCAGGTTCCGCCTAGAGCACCCAAGTGATACCGGAACAGTATCATCCGTGATTCTAGGCAATCTTCTGCATATGTCCCCAAAGATCATCGCTGCTTACTGGCGCCTCGTGAATCATGAGCTATTCATGTTAGTCGTGCGTCATCAGGGGCAAAGTGACGCCGCCTAGCACGCTGGGGAAATAAGATACCGTGTTCCTGGGACACTACGTCTTGTGGTGGCCAGCCATCTTGCCGCCGTGGGCATGCGGGTCAGCCCCCTCCCCGCCGAGATGGGGGTCATGGAGGGACTACGTGTGCCGATATTGGGCCTCCTCCTCCTCCTCCTCCTCCTCCTTCTTCTTGCTCAGCTGGAACCAGACCCCAACGCCGGCCACGACGCCACCGATGATACCGCCGGTGAGGACAGAAGTCCGATGATGTGATGCAGGGGACGGGATGTGTTTTGGCATTGCGGTGTCACCGAAGCTCGCGCACGCGGCGGTTCTGGTTGATAGAGGTCACCCGTGACTGCGAGTGTTAACCACGGTGCCGCTAGCTGACCTTGATAGGCGGTATCTCAGACCTGCATCCCCGAGTGCCTTGGTCGGCTGGGGTATGAGCTGGTGGAGAGAGAAGTTGGGGGAGGCAGTGGCCTTGGGTGGTTTGTGTGTCTTGGCTTTTATTAGACTGGAGAGAACTGCAAGGCCTGTGGCATATTGAAATAGGGTCACCATCTTGATCGCGTCTTGATCAGAGTGGGTTGGAGATGCAAGTAGTAAGATACATTAGGTTCATTCAAGATACCCAAAGAGGCCAAGATGAGGCGAACCTGGTGCAACAAGAGAATAGACGTCATTCTTACAAATTAGGCTGCCGCTACGCTCCGTCTCTAATATATTTCCTTCCATGTCGTCCTGCCACAAGAACTCGAGCGGCCTCACCTGTAAACTAGGAAGGGAACCGGCCAACAGTGAACTAACGCGACGATAAACTCGCAAGTCACTCAGCCCCAGATTAAAAGCCCCGAGTTCTATAAATGAATCTTTTTTGTAGGATTGTCTACCCATGTTCGGAACTCAGCTAGCCTACCTGCGGCACAGCCAGGCTCAATATAGCTTGCCAGAATCCAGCTCAAGGAGGGGGCGGACAAGGACTGGCATGAACGGACCAAAGACAAAGGGCCGCGCACACCTAGGGGACGGCTGAGATGCCAACTTCGACTCTCAGAGTTGGCCAGCTGTGCAGACATAGCCGAGATTCAACCACTAGGCTTGTTTCTGAAGCTATAAAAGGCTAGTATAACAATTACCTGAACCATTTCGTGATCCTGCAATGCGATGCCATGTACCCTTGAAAACCCCAGAGGCCACTGATTATGCCACAGACGCCTTGACCGATATGATATCCAATGGATGGTTGATCCCCCCGGCGTTGGGTTCATTAGGAATGCCAGAGTTAGCGAGGGGTTGACGATGGAGGGGCCTGGTGGGGCCGCCGATCGCGGAATGGGTCGTGACCCCTCTTAAGCGATTTGCGAGGCGGAGCCGTCAAGCACCGAGCAAGGCCTAGCCTTGACATCTCCCCTTGGTGTAGTTGGTTCATCACGTTCGACTGTAATGGTTACATTGTTATCGAAAGGTCTCTAGTTCGATTCTGGAAGGGGAGAACCTCTCTTTTTGCCTCTCCCGCCAGAGTGTATCCGATGGCATGGGCAGTCAGGCCGTTTGAAGGTGTACGCCATTTTTCGTATTCCTCTTGCCGCTTTTTGTAATGCCCCAGCTGGCGGTATGCGCTTAGTTCGGAGTAGCTCATCATATGTAAAATGAAGTTTGTAAGACTTGTAATTCATGTGGTATGCTTGTCAAGATCTACGAGACACATATATCTTGTATCGCACAATGATAAAACTCCCTCTTCTGTCACAGTTGACGTCCACGGTATATTGGTTCCTAGGATCTGTAATAAATTAGTTAATGATTACGACTATAGATATTTAAACCGCCCATTTGCAACCCCAGATAGCGC